GCGTTTGGAGATGAATTCCCCAAAAGCAAAAAGAAAACAGGAAAACAAAGACCAAAGTCAAACAAGTCCTTCTATAAGTCTCTTTCCACTAAGCCAAAAATAGCCCTTGCCCATTTGAGTATGGTCACTAGTCTTCATCATCCATTGCTTATTCCTGTGGGTCCAGCACCATTTCTGGACTAGGTTTCGTATCATCTTTTCCATATCATGGAGGGAAGGGGTGGAAGATACATAGAAGGATTGGTTATGGGATTTCCATAGGATCCATGCTATGACTCCTGGAAGAACGACACATAGATGGGAATGGAATGACATACCCCTGGCTCCAATCCACCATGCCATGCAATGATGCGTGATGCTTGTACCCGGTCGTGGAAGGGGGGCCCCAATCGTGTTACCAAAAAGGGTCCATAAATGGAGGGAAACTGGGCAGTGTAGAAGAGTGTGGTCAACAGAGTCCTCATCGTTATTGCAAAGAGGACATCTCCCACAAATTTGGAAGCCAAGTTTCCTCAGATTTGGCGTGAAGGGGAGTGCATGGTGGAAAATTTTCCACAGAAACAGCTTCAGGTTCGGGATATGGAGCTTGTGCCAGATGAACTTGCAGGAGAGAGGCAAGGGGGAGGGTTGGACGAAGCAAGAGTAGGCATTTTTGATAGAGAACGGACCCATGTTCATGAGAACAGAATCATTGGCTTGGACTTTTAAAGCTTGGGAGTGTATCCTTGCAATCCTTTTCCAAACCGGCGAGTTTGTAATTTTCTCTTTAATGGAACTGGGATGGATATGATACTTGGCTCTCATTAGCTTAGTCCAGAGGCTGTCTTCATGTTGGGTTTTCCACCACAACTTAAGGGAGTATGCTTGTTGGATATGGAGAAGATCTCTAATCCCCAACCCTCCTTGGTCCGTAGGAAGGCAAAATTTGTCCCATTTGATCCAGTGGTGTTTTTGTATGCCTTCTTTTGCTCCCCAAAGAAAACTGGCCATCATTTTGTGGAGAAGTTTGATCACCTCAAGGGGGAGAGAATGAACTGCCACTAAATGTAAAGGAATGGAAGACAATACATGCTTAATAAGGATAAGCCTACCAATGGGGTTGAGGGCTTTACTGTACCAGGAGGACAGGAATTTTTCAAAGTGAGTAAACAGGGAAGAACAATGTTCCTTTTTCAACTTTCCTTTACAAATGGGTGCTCCAAGGTAGATAAAAGGTTTGGCTCCTGGCTTCATACTCAAGGCTCTTTCCATTGCAGAAAGTGACGCTGGAGGGGTCCTGGTAGGGCTGTAGAATCTGCTCTTATCATAATTTATTGCTTGACCAGAGGCTTCTAGGTAAGTTTCAAGGATTCCTTTGATTCTAAGGAGATATCTGAAGTGTCCATTGGTGAAAAGGATCAGATCATCCGCAAAGGCCAGGTGGTTAATCCTGGGGCATCTGCTTGCATTGAAAGGTGTGATGAAGCTGGAGTTTACATGGTGGTTAAGGGTTCGGCTTAGACCTTCAGCCCCCAGGATGTATAACAATGGCGAGAGAGGATCTCCTTGTTTGATGCCTCTTTCCATTTTGAAAAAACCAGTGGGTTCACCATTGATTAGGATTGAGAAGTGGGTGGATTTAAGATTTGCAAAGAGAATTCTGATGACATGAGGGGAGAAACCAAAAGCTGAAAGGACACCCTGGAGGTACTCCCAGTTGAGCCTATCAAACGCCTTGGCCATGTCCACCTTGATGATGAGATTCCCCCCATTAACTTTCCTGTCAAGGGAGTGATGGAGTTCTCCGGTAATAAGAATTTGATCAGCAATATCCTTCCCTTTTTGAAAGGCCCCTTGTTCCATGGATATTAGTTTGGGAAGGAAGGATTTGAGTCTGATGGCAAGGAGCTTGCTA